CCTCTTATAAGGACCCTTGTGATTACATTGGGCCTACCTAGATAATCCAGAATTACCACCATCTCAAGATCCTTAACCTAATGACATCTGCAAAGTCCCTGTCACCATATAAGGTAATATATTCACAGGTCCCAGAGGATAGAACATGGACATCTTTGGGGGACCATTATTCTAACTGCTAAAGTTATGTATATGGACCTAAGTGGATGTGTCATAAGGCTGGGCTCCCTGATGGCTAGAAGGGACTTTAGTGTGACCATTCCGCAGTTCCCTGAGCTACTTCTCTCAACATACAACAGAACTTGCCAAGTAGGGGCAGTTCTATTTTGATCCACTTTGTTGGCAGAATCTTACTTTGAGGCACTATTAGCTCAAACTCAATATCATCACAACAAGGTTCCCTCCACCCCCACCCCCAATGTCCTAGAGAACTAAGACTCACTGATCAGCTGCCAGTTACATTTATTCCACTTATTCCACCTGTGAACAGAGTAGTCTGTGAAAACCCAAGGGCCTCTGTGTTCTAGGGATGGTCTAACTGTTGGCACAAGCAAATGTACAGAAACAAACAAACCATGGTGCCATAAAATGAACCTAGAGAATCTAAGACGTATGAGCTAATGAGCCCACAGGATGAGACAGGCATGATTCTAAGAACTTTAAGCATGATGTGCACTACTCATTTAATTTAACTTACTTTATATTGACCTTGGGAAGTACATACTATTCTTGTCCCCATTTTACAGATGAAGAAAATGAGGCACGGGGAGGTTAAAGAATAAGCTCAAGTTTGTCCAGCTAGAAGTGGGGAGTAGAGTTGTGAACTAGGCCAGTCTGATTCCACAGCCTGTGTTCCGATCCACCAAGACTTCAAAAATGGTAAATTCCCTAGTAGACTTGAGCCAAGAAAGTTGGAGCATCAGAGGTCTGTTTACATGATGCACTGGGTAAATCCTCAGAATGGCACAGGTGGGTCTTGGCGGTGGGGGGGTGGGAATTTTGTGAAGCCTGTGAGGTTAAGCTGCAGGCCTGTCTGTCTACACTCTCAGTGCCTCCCTCCTTGCCTCTCTCAGATGGTCCTATTGACCAAGGATTCCCACTAAGACCAGCATAGATATATAAAGAATTTCTTGGCCTTTACTAGGTCATGTGAACCCTTTGGGAATTGGAAATAAGAGATATCAATCCCTTTGCCTGGAAAATGCATTTGTGTACATAATATTGTAGAGGATTCTTGGCAAAAATAATTACTGGCTGAGAAGGACACAGCATCACTTCTATGTATTCCTGCCAAAAATGCATAACCTGAATCTAACAATGAAGAAACATCAGATAAGCCCAATAAGGGACAATCTGTAAAATAAACGGCCTATACTCTTCAGAAATGTCAAGATCATAAAAGACAAAGAAAAGGGAAGAACTGTTGCAGATTAAAGGAGACCAAAGAGACTTGAAAACTAAAGGCAACATGTAACCCTAAACTGGATCCTGGACCAGGATAAAATTGTTTCTTTTGCTCTAAAGAAGATTAGTGAGGCAATTGGTGAAATTCAAATAAGGCCTGTAGATTGGATAATACAGAGAAAGAAATAGACAGAGAGACAGAGTTATAAAGCAAGCAAGGTAAATGCTCAGCATCAGGGGAAATGGGTGCAGAACATTCAGGAATCCTTTGCGCTATGTTTGCAACTTCTTTAAATTTGAAATTATTTGAAAAATTTAAAGAAATTTTTAAGAACCCAGAGTGCTTCATTATGTAGGAAATGAGAACTGCACAGAACCTGTGGCCTATCTGAGCTCTACACACCCTTCACATCTCCAGGAAAAAAGGCCGAGAAGTGTCCTCATGAAAAACTAGCAGAACAGGACAGCAAGAGGTTCCTAAACTGTGCAGTGCAATGCAAGCCAAGGGTCAAGAGTCCAGGTCACTCACCTCCAGTGTTCTGTGACCTTTGGCAAATCATATAAGCCCTCTGTGCCTCAACTGAGTCACCTGTAAAATGGACGTAGTAATAGTATTTACCAAGGAGAATATCTATATGACATTAGAAAAGGGAAGGAATTCTTAAACAAGACACAGAACACTACAACCAAAAAGGGAAAGGTTGAAACATATGACTACATTAAAATTTAAAACGTTTGAATGACAAGACATCATTAATAAAGTAAAACAATAAACCACAAAGAGAAGACCTACCTCTAGTATCCAGTATCCAGAATATGTAAACAAGTTCTACGGATCAATAAGAAAAACATAAATAAACCCAACAGAAAAGTGGTCAGGAAATATCAACGGGCAATGCATAAAGGAAGAAACCTGAAAAGCCTGCAGAAAAGAAGCTCACTAATTCAGGAAAATTAAAACTAAAACAACGAAGATATTGTCATCAGCAAAAATACATAAATAAATAAAGTCTGGAAATATCCAAAGTTGGCAAAGATAGTAGAATTGGTACTTAAACATTGTTGGCAGGATATACATTAATACATCTTTGGAGAACAATCTGACTAAAACCTCCTTAAATTCAAGATGTGATATACTACAAAGTCAGCAATTCCACTCCTGTACCCAAGTAGATATGTACTAATGTGCTCAATGCAACACTCTTTGTAAAAAAAAAAAAAAAAAAAAATCTTTTAAAAAA